ATGAACCCAATTCTGCACATGCTCAATGTGAGCTCTGTCACTGAGCTATACCCCTGGCACTAGCCTGGGTATACTAATGGGTCTGAACTTGGCCTTATCAACTAGTAGCTCTGTGACTAGGCTCTCTGAAGTTGCATTTTCTCCATCTGTAAACTAGGGTAGAGGTCACATACAGCTCCAGCAAAGACATATCAGAAACTAGGAATAGAGCACATGTTCAGGACCTCTGGGATACTCAACAAATGCAAGTTATTGTTGCTGTTTTACTCATTATAATCATCTGTCAACTTATCCTAGGTGATGTGCTTTGACTGTTTTAAATTCAATAAATTAAGAAGTCTTAATTAAGTATCCCCCAGCCATAATCCATGATGAAACCATGGGGCCTCAAGCTGTTAACTTGACAGAACAAGGTCAGATTGACAAATAATATCAAGTCAAATGTCTAATTATGGGAACGCAACCTCCATCTACCCACTCAACAGTCAGTCACTCCAAGAACAGCCGTCTAGAGCTGTTTGAAGAAGGAACATTGCTAGGTCTGCAGGAAAGAGCAAGGGTCACTCCTTAGGTGGTTGTCACAAGCCAGAGTCTAGAGAATGAGGAGGTTGAGGACTTGCTGTCTATTGCTGCTGTAGGGATAGTTGCAGTTTCTCTATCACTCAGACAGCAGTGGCAATTTGCCTTGAAAAATACATTGTAAAATCCAGTGAGTTTCCTCCCTCAAATCTTAAAAAGTTTAGAATGAATCGAAATGGGTTCCAAGCTGTTCTGAATTAACAAGCCCTTTTTCCTGTTGGAGAGTTCCAGCTGGACCTTCCTTGGCTTTTCTTTATCACACGACACACACTCAAGGGGGCAAAGTGTCCAGTGGAGTGTCCTGGAGTTTGCCAGATTTCCTGGGCTTCACACTTGGCATTGGCCATGGGGCAGGGCTTGAAAGCTCGCTAGAGAGGCTGGCATAGGTCTATGGCGCCAGTTGCAAACATCTTGCTGGACTCAGTTTTATTACTCTCAACACCACCTACCCCAGCAGTGAGACTAGAGGGTGCAACGGAAGCTGTTATTTGCTGGGATTACAAGGAAATGCTCCCCTGGCTTCCAGGTTCTGGCCTTAAGGAAGGAACATGTGGGTGGGAGTGCGGGGTGCAGCTACCAGCTGCAGAGAGTGAACTGTGGTCTTCTAGCAAGGAAACAGAGGGGATAGGGCTATCCCAGCGACAGGACATTTGGCTTTTAACCTGGTCCTACTACTATTTAATAGGCATCAGATCTTGTACAAATCCGAGTTCACTGCCTGTAAGTGAGAATAAAGCGCCCTGTGCCCCGTTGGGATCCAGGGAAGACTGACAATGCGCTGCTCTTAAGAAGTGCTACACATCAGCTCCCAAGCTCTACCGTTCTTTTTATTCCATTTCTTGATCCAGCTCAGAGGAGACAGATGAGAAGACTTTGAGAACTAGGTCATCTCTCTCAGTAAGCTGGCTGCAACAGCTGAGTACACAAGGAGTTGCTAAACCCAGTTCAAATCTAAGAACCAGATCAACGGGTCCTCAGTGTTCAGTGGGTAGTAACACTTATTTCCCCAGCAAGTCCTGAGTTGGGTCAAATTGACACTTCTATCTACAGTCTTCCTCTTTGGTCCCTCTAACCGCCAGCTCTGATCCTCTCCTTACGCAGCCTCATCTTCCTCATCCTTTCCCCAGTTTGAGCACCTACGTGCCTTCACCAGAGCTAAAGTTCCAACTCAGAAGGGCTCAGATGAGCCTTGCCTAAAGCACTGCTTTCCAAAATCACTAAAGCAAACTTCTGAAGTGCTGAAGAGATAACCGCTCTTGCTGAGACTGGATAGGGACAGAACCCCGTTTTCTGGATATAATCACTCTTGCTGAGACTGGATAGGGACAGAATCCTGTTTTCTGGATATAATTGCTCTTATTTACAAGATGTTTTCTCTTCCTGGAATTTTAGAATAAGGAAAAACAATCAACAAGCAATGGCTAATTTGAAAACTGTCTCTAATAAAGCTGGGCTTGGGATATTGATCTCCCATCTATAGACGATGAGAACTTACTGGAAGCCAGTCCTTGGACTGGGAATGCCAACTGGGCAGCTTTTGTTTGGCCTGTACACAACCAGTCTCCTGAGTAAAGAGGAGAATCACATTCCTGTGAGCTCTACAAACACGGGCCAGTTTTACTCTTGTCTGTTGCCTGTATTTAGCCTTTATCTATAATTTCAACTTTGGTCGGGGAAGGATTTTTCCTTTCTGTGTTGTAGGAACATATCAGTGGTTAGTCAGCTGCTTTGAGGAAGTTTAGAAATATTCACAAGGGTTAAAAGATCTTAATAATCTGGCAGACTGCTACCTTGGGGTATCTTTCATTGTTATGTGGATGAGATCTGGATCCTGGCTTTTGTGAAGACAACCTGTGAAAGGCCAAAAGGAACTTCTTTATATAGAGTACTTGTCACTGGTGTTATTCTAACTTTTATGAACTAGCATGAGCTAATAATTACAGCATTAAATCCATGCACATTGTTTATTGTGTGGTTTCTCGACCAACTAACTAATGGTGTATGCATATATGTGTGTATACATGTGTGTATATGTGCACATGTGTATGTATATATGTATGAGTGTATATTTTTATTTCTGTGGTGCTTGGAACCTTTGCATGTATCAGACAATCACTCTTCCACTGAGCTCCTGCTCCAGCCCATCATGATTGTTTCTTGTTTAGACTTTTCCTATTTACAAAGTAAGACGTTTGAATGGATTCTCCCAAATGCTTTCCTTAGTGTCTGTGGATATAAATGACTGCAAGCTTTATGATAATGATGAAATAAAAGACTTTAAAATGCTCATAGCTTTGAATTCAATTTCTGGCAATTTACAATGACAAGATCATCTGAGATTAGATAGAAATTTATATAGAAGAATATTTAGTAATCAAAATATAGAACACTTTCCAAAGAAAAGCACAGCCTATATCCCAACACTGAGGATCAGGAGTTCAAGGCCAGCCTCAGCAATATAATGAGTTCAGGGTAACTTGAGACCCTGTTTCAAAAACTTAAATAATGAAATAAACAAAAAATAAAATAAAGGAACACATTTTAAGCACTCTTCTATGTTTTCGCTGTCATTCAAAATGAAATAATAATATATAGGGAGATGATTTGGTCCATAAGAAACCCTTTATAGAGTATTTTATAGTCATTATAGTCATTAATGGTGCTTCTGGGGCTGGGAATATAATTCAGTGGTAGACATGCCTAAGGCCATGAATTTAAACCCTAGTACCAAAACTTCTAAAACTCAGTCACTTAATTCCAAAACATGTTGATTCAGTGTCTGAGGGTATGCTGAGCTTGGGCAGTAGATGCTTTCTTGTCAGTGGTCACTGCATGCCTGGCTCTTGGTTCCATCCCAACCGACAAAGACAACACGAAATTGTCTTAAAGTGAGTGACCACTTGATACTGCCTAACCCTTGCCATACTGCTTATCTCTCTGCTCCCCAGTCATATAAGGCAGCTTTGCTTTCACAGAATAGAAGTTTGAAGCATGGGCTCTAGAAGCAGACAAGCCATCCCAGTGCATCCTTCTTTCGACAGGTTTCACTTACTATGTTGCCTGGTTGGGCTGGAACTCAAAGAGATCCAGGCTAGCCTTGAACTCATAGAGATCTGCCTGCCTTTGGAGTGCTGGTATTAAAGACATGTGACATTATGTCTGACTCCCCAGCTACATCTGACACTGGTTATGTCACTGTGGGCAGGAGCACAGGCCTTCCAGTGCTTTGGTTTCCTCACTTTAAAAAATGGCACTCACCTCACTGAGCTGTGGTGAGGATTTGTGCGGGAAGCGCTCAGAACACTGTCTGGCATTAGAGGCACCTCCTCGGTGTTGTCTCTTACTGCCCTTAGTAATTACCATGCACCTTACTTGAAAGCATCTGCTCTCCATTGCACAAGACTAACCATCAGATCATGCTCTTTATACGAAGCAACACTACACCTTTTCACCTACAGATTCCCCTTCCCTACAGGGGAGTTCTCACAAATAGGTTACTGCACAGTTCACACAGAACGTGCATCTAAAGTCAATTCCAATGTAAGAATTCACCATTTAAAAAGCAAAGTTTTGTTTGTTTGTTCTTTTAAAACATTATGTAGCCTAAGCTGGCCATCTTGTCTCAGCCTCCTCAGTGCTGGGATTCTAAGTGTGCACTATTACATCTGGCTCAAAGCAGTTTTTACAGATAGAAATGAAAGCAGAAAGTTCTACTTACCTGAAACAAGAGAGAGAGAGAGACCCTTGAAAACAACATTTGATATAAAATGAGGCTTTTGGAGTTGGTTAGTTAGATCATGTATTTGCAAGGCCAAAATTTTGATAAACTGCCAAATAGCTCAATTTCTTTCTCTGTGGTGTGCTCTTGGTTCAAGTGTATTGGTAATCACAGCCAAGTGTCTTACAGAGGCACAAAAGGGAAGCCATAAGAAGCCAGATGAGAGAGAAGGTGGAGTTTAGCAAGTCTCCATTCCCTGATTCCTGATGCAGGGAAGGTGGGTGGAAGCATTAATTGGGCCAAGATCACACACAGTTGCCTGCTCTATACCACAGGAGCATTGTCAAAGTCAAGTTACATGCGTCATTACTAAAATGAGCTGAAGACCAAATTGGCCTTTTGGGAAGGAAGAGGGAAAGACAAGGAAAAATAACGTGAGAAAAGAAAAGAAGGCATTTGTTTTTCAGGATTGGATTTGGCCAGAAAAAAGCAGTGTGATGAATAGAAACAAGGAGCTTGGATCCCCACAGCCTTGACTCCGAATGTCTACGGTATTCAGCTCGGCAGTGACATGTTCATGGCACTGTGCCACGGGCATGCTCCGCAGAAGCAGAGTCAGTAAGAAGGAACACAGAACACTGAGAAATGCAATTCCACCACCATCCCACCTTTTTCTACATCTAAATCAAAAGATGACTCTTACCTCCACTGAGAATGATGACAGCTATAAATATGGCCAAGTCACTGTCATCTAGTTCCAGTGCATTGAACTTCACAGCAAACTCAAACTTGGGCTCCATAAAGTCACCAAAGGGCTTCCGCAGGCTTTTGAGGAACTCCCTGGTCATGAATCCTTGACCCTCTGATATGAGGACTCCATCTTTATTCATCAGGGAGGCCAGCATTGTATAGATGATTTCATGGACACCGTACTTGAGCAGAGTCACTTGGTCATTCAAGTCAAGGTTAATGAAACCAGGGATGTTTTTGGCATATTCTGTGATCTCTTGAACGGCTTCCACGGATCGAAATTGGCACCCTTGGAAAATGCGGATGGCCACCTCTTTGCTCTGCTCCTGCAAAGGGGTGATGTGTTTGAACTTGATTTTATCTTCTCCCATCATTAAGGAATTCATGTCGTAGATGACAAATGGCTGCAAATGAAAAAGGAGAAAGTGGCTGAATTGGCGATTCCTTGTTCTGGGAGAACACCACCCTAGTCCAGAGACCATAGATGTATTGCTTTGCTGGGTAAAATTGGGAAGGCTAAAGGGACTTAATCAGGAGAAAGGGCTCTTCCTGTTCATCACTGTGATCTGCTGGGGTCAAACATTCCTTGATGCTTTTCCTTCAACTTGTACCATCACTGTGTTATTCTGAAACTGGCTAATAACTTCGATTTGTTAGATTTTTAAAATGGCAAAAAGTCTAGTGTTTTCTTGAATTTCAAGAAAATACATATTTAATCTTTTTTTAAACAAAAAGTAGTTAAAGCAAGTTATGATTGAAAAAAACCACTTGAACATAAGCTAATCTTGCAGCTTTAGATCAAATTTACTCAGACCACAAGGAAACACAGTGTACATATAAAATATATTTCACTATAAAAAATCACTCAAAACAGATTAAAAATATTGAGCCAAGAAAATGTCTATTTCTTTTTTTCTTTTTTAAAAAAATGCTCTGGAAGCCATCTGTTTCAGAAAAAGCAGCTGTAGGAGGCCTGTGGGTAAAACACTGCAGAAAGTAGTAAAGTAAAAATGGTTTTTAGCTTTTTAATTTTTATAGTTTTGAAAATTTAACCATAGAGCCCCATGCATGCTAAGCAAATGCTCTATCACTGAGCTGCAGTCCCAGTCCTGAACTTAAATTTTAATATGTCGGTTCTTAAGGATCAACTAATAAAATGAATGAATCAATTACTCAGGTTTGCAACAGGCTGCTTTCAAAAGTTTGCCATGACACTCTGCTCTCTGTTCCTTTGTACAGAACAGCCAAAGGCTTTTGGTCATTGTGAAAGTCTCAAGGCTGAGCAATTAGGAAGAAGGAACACTTTGCACTTATTACATGCACTGGACCCTAGAAAGAGCTAACCTCAATCTTATTAAATATCATATTTTTGAGCATTGGAATAAAAACTGAGGCTATTATTAGGCTTTGGTTCTATGATTAACTTTACCCCCAGAGATTTATTTTTATTTTATTTGCATGGGTGTTGACCTGTCTGCATATAAATGTACCATATGTGTGTCTAGTGCTTGTATATGTCAGAACACTGTGTCAGATCCCCTGGAACTAAGGTTACCGAGGATTGTAAGCTTTGTCAGCTGTTGTGTGACGGCTGGTTAACTATGTAATTTAGGGAAAGCTATTTACCCTTCCAAAGTCTCAAGGTGTTTTGTTTTGTTTTTGTTTTTGAAACAGGGTTTCTCTGTGTATCCTTAGCTGTCTAGGCTGTGACCTCAAATGGTACTGGGATTAAAAGCGTGCAACATCACTGCTAGGGAGTTGACAAAATTGGAGGTTTCTGTTTCTTTTCTAGAGGAGACTCTAGCTGTATTTCTAGTGTGTATGCGTGTGTGTGCGCATGTGTGTGAGGTATGTGGCACATGATCACACATGATCACAAAGTCTCTGATGTACTAAAAGTAATTTCTTTTGAGCAGAGGTTCTGAGAGCTAAATGTCAGGATTGGGGGATGAGGTGCACAGATGCCAACAGTAGCCAGCTTCAAGATGTTCTAGCCAGAGATTTCACTGTGAACTCTTGCAGATAAGCGTCCCTGATTTTCAACAAGCTCATTCTGTTCCACTCTGCGGAGATTTCCAAATCCACACATTGTACAAACTCATCAGAGCTGAGTTGTTCTAGAAACACGGCTGCCCTCAATTCACATCAACCACAGTGCTCAACACACCTGGGTGGGGTGGGAGGGCTCAGGACTCAGGCACTTTGCTTGCTGCCTTTGATTTGATTCTTCAAGACAATGAGGAGCAAATCATGCTCACTGTTTTTTCAGACATCCTGCTTCTGTTTACCCCACAATTGACACCATTAGTAAGAGGAGGATAAAGAAAGGCACAATCAATTATATCAGTTAAAATGTACTATTTTATTCCTGAATTCTGATCAGATTTTAACCATGAGAAAAAATTTGAGTAGATGAAGATTTTACAGAAGCTCCCTGCCTCCTCCTCCTCTATTGGAGCTCTAGGAGCCTTATAGTGTATTATAATTTAATATTAACAAAATGTAAATGGCTTAAACATTTTAAAATAAGGTCTCACATACCTAGGCTGGCCTTAAACTTGATATGTACCAGAGGATTATCCTGAACTTCTGGTCCTCCTGCCTCCACCTCCCAAGTGGTGGGATTAAACAGGCACTACCACACCTGGCTCACGCTTTGCTGGGGATTAAGTACAGGGTTCCAAGCTTGTCATACCCCTGGCCCCTTGACTTTCTTTACTCTCATGAGAATATGAACGTGGACAACAAAGAAAGAAGTTCAGCCGAACATGTTAAACTACATACAACATGAACAGAAAAGCATCACCTCAGCTGGGCACATGGTTCCCTATACAGCACTTGCCGAGAATGCTCAAGGCTCTGAGTAAACTATCTCTTCACATCCCGGGAGACTGTACCCAGAGCTACCCTTTCAGCTTTTGGGTGAGCTTCTGCTCAGTCATGTGGGTTCTTGGCAGAACATAAGCATCAGATTCTTTCACCTCCAAGTAAGCGATTTCTCTGGAACTCTGCCCTGGTCCATCACCCTTGTGATTCTCCTTGACTTCCCCTGCCCCTCATATAAAGCCCCAGGTTCCTGTTTTTGAAACTCCGGGATAGCTGACCATAGGGCACCAAATCCTGCTAATTTTCTCTCCCAATTTAACAACAATGTAACTTTAACCCCTTGGCAATCAGTGTTGGTCAGGATATCCTGGCAGTAAATATTCAAGGACAGAGAAAAGAGGCAGCACCCCCACCATCATGCCAAACCAGTTTTGCCTTTTTTTTTTTTTAAATCCCTTCAGCATTTCTGACATTTCTGAAAAAGTGGGGAGCTGGCAGAGAGTTCTGAGCACTGACACGCAAATGAACACCAGTGGAGGTTTTGTTGTTGCTTTTCCTAGTTGTATTTTATTATGCTTTTTTTTTTTTTTTGACTCTGCATAAGTTCTTTCTGCTTCTATGTGGATGTTTCAAACTGTGAGAGTGATTCCCAGGCCACCAGCTTACCAGTTCTCACACCGCAAACCATCCACAAAGGCACCACTTTCACATGTCACTGAGACTTCCCCATCCTCAAACCCACTGAGAAAGCAGCAGCTCTCCTGCTTATTGAGAACTGAGTTATTAATGTACTACAACATAAACAGCTTCCTTTTGGTGCAGTAGTCTACATAAAATGAACTGTATGTCTTGAATCACTATTTGTATTTTGTACAGAGTCAACTGGGGCTTTGGGTTAACTTATATAGTGTCTTTTGATGACACACCATTTGCAGGAGGAGTCACATTGTCTTCACAATTTGACTCAGTGATTTTTCTAGTTCGAGTTCACAATGTGTTTACCTTCAGACATGGCATCAAATGGCTAGGTAGGCACCCTTACTTACCAGTAAAGAAAACAACAACTAGACATGCTCAGGGGCCCATCTAGGTTTTTAGGGTTCAAAACGCATGCATGGTCTAAGAAAAATATGCACACGATGAGCACAAAGTTTCTCCCAAAACAGTAGCTCTGGGAATGGGGTTCTCTGACGCCCAAGCTTTGCTGACCACAGAAGGATCCCTCTTTCCTTCTCTTTCCTTAGTGCTAGGGATTGGACTTGGGGCTCATAAATGCCAAACACAGGCTGTAACACTGTGTGGATGTGCCTCTTAAAAAGCCATCAGCATGTTAATATCTGAGTTATAGAAGGGCTTCTACACAAAGTGCTAGGTCAGTTCCTCTTGAGTAATAAAACAACCCATTCAAGGAGGTAAGCAAGAAAGATCGACTAATATGGCTCAGGTTATTCTGAGTAATTTCTCTAATTTGCCACACACACACACACACACACACACACACACACACACACACCTGCATATTAGCTGATGTGCTCACAGAAAATCCTGTGATAATAACAGTGCAGAATTACAGCTGAATTGGAGACCAGGCATGGTGCTGTTTGCATGTAATCCTAGCATTTGGGAGGTAATGACAGGAGAATCTGAAGCTTAAAGTCATCTTAGCTACAGAGTGAATTCTAGGTCAGCCTGGGCTACATGAGACCCTGTTTCCAAACCAAACCAAACCAACAACAAACACCAGGTTTGGGAGAAACGTGGGCCTCATTTCAAGGGCCTTTCCAGATATTCAGATTTTTCAAAGAAGAACACTACCTTCTTAGAGCCTATCTTTTGAATATGTTCCTGTCTTCTTGTGTTTCTTGGCTTTCATAATGTTGGGCATACACCTTGCCCTCTACAGTTAAAGAACGCTAACCCCAAGTACATTGGTTTCCTCAACTTCCTTTCTGTCTTGCTCCGGTGTTTCAGTTTTGCTTTGTGAAACCATGGGATCTACAGGATGCAAAGGCTCTTCTGAAAGTACACGTACAAGTACTCTCTAAGTGTGAAGAAACTCAAAGTTCAAGAGTTCTTTATATCAAACCCTGGCCGAGAACTGGCATATCCTCCTGACTCTCTTCTTTAACACCCTCTCCCGGCTTCTCCATGTGTTTTAACTTTTTTCCAGTACACTCGCTTTTCTGGAAAGAACGAGGACTTTTAAACCCAAGCTCTTCTGTGCTGAGGTCCTTGGGCAGTGCCTTTTGAATGATATTTCCTATAAGCAAGTGCTGTTCGTGATGGACGTTAGAAAGTCTATCAGATGTAATTCTGTGTCCCCATGTGGTTTAGTGATTTAAGACAAACAAATGAAAGCCTAAAAAGAATTATTCACACTCAAATGAACCAGCACATAACCACAGCTCTTAAATAAATTGTTCAATATCAGCCAAACAGTTACTCAGTAGATAAACAAGAGTAATAGCCAACTTAATCCAACAACGAAAATAAATAAATAAATAAAAATAAGAGGCCCAAATTCTTTCCTTCTCAACTATATTGAATATATTGCTATTGTTTGGTGTTGGGAATGACACCCTGAGCCCTGTATATGTAGGCAAGAGTTCTACCACTGAGTTACACACCCAAACATAGAATAATATTCTTTTCATTTCTTCTCTAAAAAGCATTATTAGTTCAGATCTGTCATATTGTTAGCTATTACTAATGACTCTGATCATGAAAGAATTTGTTTATTACTATTGATAGATGGATCAACAATGCCAGGAACCTAACTTGAGCAGCCTTGGAAATTATTCAGTACTGCCTCCTGCTTTATGCTTATGGGGCTCCTAAGTCTTCTTCAATGGCTCCCTCAATACTTCTCTCCTCAGGGGAGGATATTCTAGTTCATTCAGGCTCTTCAAAGATGAAGGGGATAGGTTATGCTTTGTCTACCTGTAAGGACATGGCTTAAGAAGATACATCTTTCCTATCATTTGAGTCAGTATGATGGGACGGCCTCTGTATATGTAGAAAGCATAAATGTAAATGGGCAGAGAAATATTTCCATAGCAGTTTACAATTCTGCTTGGGCTTTATGATTTGGTGGTTTTGGATTTCATATACTATTCAGAATGATCATTTTTCTAATGGCACCAGTTTGCCCCTGTTGTTAAAAGAACAGTGACTTTACATGTGCCTATCATAAACAAGACGATGCCTTGGAAGCCAAAGTCCAATACAGTATAAATAAAATGTTTTATTTCTTATTTATAGTTTGAATACAGTCAGGGCTTCACCAGGCATCACTCTTAGGTATATAGTGAAGAGTTGGCAGGCATACCCATGGTTTTTCTATTCATTGTTTTATGGCAAGCCATGGCACTGAGAATGGTTTTTGAAAACCACTCTGTTTATTTTCATCAACAAACACGGGATCACGTGACCACTGCACCAACGTGGTAGTCCAACATCCCAAACTTCCAAAGTCCATTCAGTTATCAAACTGCCTTCAAGAAATGAGGGCTCTAGTTCTAGCACACGTGTGGGCTTCAGAGATCTACAGTGTCTCTTCAGCTAGGGAGGGGCTGTGGCTGAAGAAAACCACTGGAAGAAAAGCAGGTGGTGGGGGAATGGGTTCCACCCTATTTGAGGGCAGAGAAAAGGCATACTGCTCCTAGGAGTTCTTTAGTGATTCTGTAGCCCACATCCCCTTGAGCCTAGGCCATACTCTTGGAGGCAAGACGATGAAAATTATTGATATCTTATCCCAAAGATATGATGTTAAAGTTGATAGGGGGAGAGCAGGAACACTTAATTTATCTGTTTTGAAAGGTGTGAGTGGCCCCAAGGGATAAGATATTGAAGGAGGAAGTGTAGCTGAGGAGGGGGAGTGGCGCTTGCTGGCCTGGAGGCAAGGGCTGTGAGGGCAGCAGCTGGTGGGTTCCTAACAGCTCTGGTTAAATTGAGCAGTGAGATAAACGTATAAAGAATGGCCTCTTCAGTCCATCATTTCCTTCAGAAGGATTCTGGGTAATTGGTCATCCACTACACTGAACAGCCTCCCCCAGGCTTGGCCTAACTGGTGCCGCTGACATCAGCTGCAAGCTGTGCGCATAATGAGACCTAAGCTGCTCTCCTCACAGCCTCAGCCACTTTCTCACATCCCCCACCATCTCAAGAGGCCACACTTCAGCAAAACTTTCCCTATCAATGCAAATCTTAGCTTTCACAGTCCTGGCCAAGAGATAACATAACACCCCTGAGATAGATGCTATCAAATGAATAATAGGACCATGCTGATAAAGAGTAAATCGCACTGCAAATCACATTTTGGGTTTCTCTTCCATATTCTCTACTGAAATATTTCTTTCCATTGGTGCTCAGTTTGATTTCACCAGATAAGGAGAAAACAATGCCAAACAATTTGATTTTAGTTCTGTATAATCAGTGAATGGGTTTTTTATATTTGGCTGGGCCTCTTTTTCTCTTTCTAGACCTCAACTGGAGGCAATCCTGTCACTATCCAATCACTAATGACGTCTAGTTAGATGAACAAATATTGGGCTAGTGAAAAGCCCTCTGTTGAAAGTCCATAATTTCAAAGGGCATAAGCAACAGTCTTTAATTCAATTAAACAAATAGTCTGAGTAACTACTATGGGCAAGGCACGAGCCTCCTTACTACAGGGAAAAATGACAACCCTTGGCCTCCGAATTGAGAAGTCTATAATCAAGCTTTTGTAGCCCCTTCCTTAAATAGCTTAATAGCTATTTGTTTCACAAAGGGCCTCCAATTATCTTATTTTTAACTCAAAGATTCAGAGCCAAAATGTCAGTTGGGATGAGGTTTCCAAGTGATTTCCAGTGGTTTGGTCTCTGCGTCCTTCAGAACAGAGATAGGAATACATCAGCAACCCATTATATAAATTTAAATTATTGCCTATTAGGGTAGTCTCTCTCTCTCTCTCTCTCTCTCTCTCTCTCTCTCTCTCTCTCTTAGCTTTTAAGTAGTTTAAGTTTTTAATTGATAAGATTTCCAGCATGGATTTCATGTGTGCACTGGAGGTGAGGCGATAAGAACCCAGAGCCTGCGAAATGAATGGCTCTAGGTAAAACTGAACTAGCCACTATGGGACTCCGTGCCTTTCAGCAACCCCCTCCCCAGAGCCTAGCTCTGAGATCCCAGACTCCAGCCCTCTATCCTGCACCTGCTCTTGGCAAGCTGTTGCAATATGCCTTCAAGTGATCACTCTCGTTAGTCATGTGGCTGCAGCCGTCGTTTACTTTTTTCCTGGGAATGAAGTCAGAGTAGCCATGTACAGGTCTTCATGGCTGTTTTTGGTACTCAGTAGACAGACTGCACTGTACTATGATTCGTGTTCTGTGGTCCTGGGAATAGCACATTGACAGTGTTCCCAACTAGCAGTCAGAAAGCTTACATTATAGCCTTCAGTTTCCTATGTGCTTATGCCTCTCCACTTCAGTTCCTTCCCCTTAAACAAAGATACACAACAGCCGCCTTCAGATGGCCCTGTGGTGGAATGTAAAGAAAGTATAAAATACTTGTGTATCACCGTATAGGTATCAATCCCTCCTGTAAGGAGAAACTCAACTGTTCTTATTGACATGTGACTCTTTCCCACAGCTATTAGCTGACTACACTCTAAGTAATTTGATTAAAAAGAAAGACCTGAGATAATCATTAAAATATGATTTTTTTTCTAAAAAATAGTTACATAGTTACATGTATCTACCTATTAGTTGCCTTGCTCTCCTGGACTTGTTCACTTGAAAATAAATGACCACACCCAAGGCTTTCAAGAGCTGGATTCAGGCCTTTTGCATTAGATCTGCAGCTTTTACTGCCTTAGGGACATTCTGTAGACCATATCATCAAAGCCATGAGGGACAGAGATGTGACCCAGGTCACACTCCCAGCTGACAGTGGAGTGGGAAGCAGCAGGTAGGTTTCATTTAAATGTAATTTGGTGCTGATTCTCAGCTTCATGTCGGAAGCTTTCTGCTTCCTAGAAAACTGGACTCAACAATAGTTTTCAACTATTATGAATTTTCTAAACAATGGCACTCAACAAACCTCCAGGTACATAAGGATCCTTTTGAGGTTTAGGCATGCAGCTCACCTCTATAATACACGTACCTAGCATGCTTGAAGCCTTGAATTCAACCCAATATTTAGCATTAATAATAAGAATAAATAATAATATTTAATAATATTAAATAAAATAATAATAAAACAAAATAAAATATTCCATTGGAGCAGCATAGGCAGTTTAGCTCCTTGTAGAAACTAGAATTCATACATATAATAAAAGGATAGAGCCTCCAATTGTCCAGTAATAAAACTCGGTACTGTAAGGAAATAGGTCTCATCCTGGATGTTTTTGTGCCCACTCTGAACTTGGGATTAAAGACTCTGGGAACCTAGAAAGATAAAAGTGGGACCCCACACCTTCCACACCTTCCACACCTTCGTGGCCTCCTCCATGGCTGCTGAGGCACGGTGTTCTGACCAGTTATTTTTTGATGCTGAGCAAAGAGATGAGTCTAGAAAGAGGGTGGGGTCCTGAGAGGGCTTCACATTCATTCATGAATGTTAGATGGCCTATGAGTTCTTGTACTACTCTCAAAGGTGTTGTGTGTGTGTGTGTGTGTTTTCTTTTTTCTGTTTTGTTTTTAAGTTACAGCTTGGAGGAGTTACTCCTTTTTCAGAACAGTGTTTACTTATCCTATTTGAAGACATTTCCTGTGTTTTGGACCCGGCCTGCCACAAGATTTTAACAGCCCGCAGCTGAGCTATATTCTGCATACGCATGCGTACTGAGGCAAATCATTTAGTCAAAAGAAAGAACCCCCAGCCCCATCCACCCCCATGAAGAGAGCAGAAGAGAACTAACTGATTTGTCTGTTGTCTTTCCTGTCAAGATCGCCCTCGCCTTGGCTTTGGTCAGCGGGAAGGACTTTATGTATGAGTCATACAAATGCTTCGCCAGGGCCCGGAGATCAGCAGACTCTGGGTTCAGCTGGTCGATATCACTGGAGATCTCCGCCAACAGCTTCTCCTTCTCGGCCTGTGGCATCCGCCCAAACCTGATGGCTACAGAGGAAGAGGAATGACAGGATGAATCATTGGATCATTACTATGGCTTTGCCTTGTGCTCTCCCCAGCCCTGGTTCCCACAGTGGACGAGCCCCTCCTCTCTCCACCCGCCACTGGTTCTGCTTTCTATCTACCACTTTGCTCGTGTTTTTATTTCACAACAGTAGCACAGAAAAATAAAACCGGAATAATTTACTTCTTCAACTTAAAAAGACAACATATGATCCTATTAGGGAATTGGAAGAATCTGTTTAGCAAATAGGAATACATACTCATTTAGATATGAATTGAAAAACAATTCCTATCCATCCCTGAAGAACCAATGCAAAGAATGTAAAATGAAATTAAAAACAATAACAACACCAACAAGAACAAGGAACCAATGTAAAGTCACCTTCTTTGTAAGGCTTTCAAGTACAGCTAATTATTTACACCACCCACCCACCCTGAACACTTCAATGTTCACACGGCATTATAATTATGACTTTATATGCCTCTTGTTCCTCTGTAGAACAATGCCCCGAAGACAGGGACACTGTCTTATTTATCTTGGTAACTTCGACACTTCACAAAGGTCAGGTAGGAGAATCTATCTACATATTTCATGAATTAAGTAAGGAGCTATGCAGGAGTCTAAGCTGTACAAACCCAGGCTCTCTGTTCTCGTGCAGGTTGTGTGATCTGCTTGTCCCTGTTGTGAAGAAAGGATAGTGCTCTATCCCTCTAGTAGACCAGGGAACTTGGACATGGAATGGATGGAGTTGGACTTACCTCTAACTCTGCAGAACTACCCCTTACTGAGGTGCATCAGAAAGACACTTTTACCCTTGGCTTCTCAAAGGGTGAGGAAGTGTGAATGTAAAAGAAAGATTGAAGAGAGACATAGAACATAAGGTGGGAATTAATCTGTGTGAGTTGTTGTCTGGGGTCAAAACACTTGCTTGGCATGTGAAAATCTTGCATTTCATTCCCAGAAAATCAAATTAATAACAATCTGTTTATAGGGTTTCAACTTGAGTAACTTTTCTTTCTTTCTTTCTGATATTTGTAAAAATGTCACTTTGAGTAACATTTTTCTTTTGGGTCGTTCTTTGCTGTTGTTTAAAAAATTATAAAACGGAATAAAATAAATTTAAAATGGGGGTGCTAGAGAGTTGGCTTAGTGGTGAAGAGTACTTGCTGCTCTTGTAGAGGACCTAGTTTGATTCCCAGTACCTATTTGGTGACTCACAACCATCTACAACTCAAGTTCTAGGGGATATGACATTCTTTTAGTACCTTTTTGGGCCTCATGCCTGCTAAACATATGTTCTACTACTGAGCTTCAACTCAATTCTTACTATTTTTTTTATTGTATTTTATATTATATTCTTGAGATGTGGCCAAGAACTTGAAACTCCCTGCACTAGCATCCTTGCTGTTGGTATTACAGGTCACCACCATGCTCAGCTGAATTTTGTTTTAGAGAAAAGATTGCTTTATACCCTTGAGTTTCATATGTGTAAATTCATCTCAGTTGGCCCTATGCTTTATCACTAATAAAACTAATGCACTACAGAGCCCTCAATAGAGACCTTGCTTGGAGTTTGAGGGAAAGAGATGTTTGCCTCTCAGTTTACATTAAATCAGGATATGTTTAGATACTTTTGATAAATATAACTTTTGCACATGATCCTTCAGAAATCTTTAAACAATTGCCTTTTTCTCTTTCTTTCTTCTTTCTTTTTTTTTTTTTAATCAAATTGCAGCCTCCCATTATTCTCTTCCATTTTAGCTACACTGGGATAGGGAATGTCAGCTTAGTGAGAAGCCTTCCCACCTGGGCCCCAGGTCCACTGGGTTCCCTCAGTCTATGACCTTGACACTTCCCTCTTCCGTTTTATAACTCTGGCTACAGTAGTTGACAATAACGTTTTCTTTTCTCCTCTAGCTTGCAGTCCTCCATAAAGACAGGCGTCTTGCTTGTTATACTCAGCACTTAGTACATTGTTGGGCACACATATTAAGTACTTATAGATCATTTTGAAATAAGATGAATAAAACATATATCCACCAAGCTCAACAAGGTCCCACCCCTCCCTAAGGATCAGTAGTTAATGGTTGCTGGTAGAGGCAGAGGTATTTTCTTCAGTAGTGTAGCCACTGGTAAGCTGCTAGCTTCTGAAAATAGCTCCCACACACGCTTCTGTAAGTTATCCTGAGTAAACTCACTAATCACAAAATAAAGGAAGTAGGCAGAGGGAGAGAAAGGAAGAAGAGGAAGAAGGACAATGATGACAATAACATGGAAGTAGAAGGGAACTAGCTAGTTTCAAAGAGGAAAGGGACAAGAAAAGGCAATGGAGGTGAATATGATATGTATACATGCAAATGCCATAATTATACTCATTAATTAATATATGCAAAACAACAACTTAACGACTGTGTAAAAGATCCTTTTATAGTCCCCTGCAAAGCCATTCTGAACCACTCCTTTCACACAGAACTAATCATTTGCTTTGCTGTCCTTTGAGTAATGTGGAAGAAAAGGGGCAGAGCATGTGAGAACCACTTGGGAACATTCTAAAATTAGGTGTCTCTTATGTAACATTTTAATAAGCCACCCCTATATCCAAATAGGATATATATACATATATATGTATATATTTAACTTTATAAATAAATACATATATATATAAAACTTGAGGTTTGAAAAAGCTTTCTAAATGCTATGCTTTCTTTTATATGAATATTAGTGTGAAGCTTTTTACAAAGTTTCTAATGGATTTACAATAGTTATTCTGCTAGAACAGAAGCTATATAAATACTAGGTTTTATCTTTGCTCCTGAGTATAACAAAATACATATTATAATAAAAGTGTGAAGAATTAAACTTCAAAACACTGAGTTTAAAAATAGACAGATGAGTCAATATGTACATTGCGAGTTTATATAAGAGAAAATAAGAATTATGACATATTAAAAGATGAAGAAATTGTGAGTTGGATATATGGGTCAGTGGTAAAGTGCTTTTTTAACATGCATGATGAAGCTTTGGGTTTGATTCCCCAGCATGGCAAATAATAAAACAAAATAAAAATAAAAACAAACACCACAGAAATTGCAAAAAAACCTTGGAAAACATCAGAGTTATTATACAGTGAGACAGAAGTTACTAGAATCATCTGTTTCACAGACCACCCTACACTGTCTCTTCACTTTGTAAATAATTACTAAGTGACTCTCATATATTAGACACTGTCTCAAGCTCTGGCTAATTTAAAACCTTTTGTTTAGTGTATATATATATGAATGCGTGTTGTATGTACGGGATGTCAGAAGACAATGTGTGGAACTTGGCTCTCTTCTTCCACTATTTGAGTCCTGGGGATGAAGCTCAGGTTAAAGGTCAACTTCTTATCTGCTGAGCAATCTCGTTGGTCCTCTGTCTTTTAAAGAAAGATTTATTTATTTTTTAGTGTGTATAAGTATTTTGCTTGCACATATATCTTTGCATCCTGTGTGTGAAATGCTTATGAAGCCAGAAGAGTACAGAATTCTTTGAAACTAGAGTTACTGACCCTTGTGAGTGCTGGAAACCAAACCTGGGTCCTCTGCAAGAGCAGCAAGTGCTCCTAATTACTGAACCATACTTCCAGCCCCTCCTATGATTAAAATTTTATAGGTAGAAACTATAAATATACATGGACATTAACATGATTAAAATGCATTTTACCTTTCCTAGCGGGCAGTCACTATATCTAATTTAAGCAAACAAAGTCACTTATTACACTGACAGTTCTGCTTTCCCTCACCTAGCAAAAATAGCCAAAAAACATTTCAAAATCACTTTAAATAGAATATATTAAGGTAGTACCCCACTAGAATCTGAACAAATGCATATTTTCATAAGCCAAAGTTCTAAAAAATTGCTAAATCTCATGAATAAATTATCTATATTGCTAAATAACTCTGTTATAAGTTAGGCACAACTTGATCCACAGGTGAACTTAGCATTTTTACACATCAGGAGTGTAGCAAAGGAAGGAGACAGGTCCTGCTTGGTGGAACTACATCTGCATGTAACAGATCTGAAGCAGAGAAACATTTTATTTGCTTCTTTGTACAAGCCAGAGATTCATATGGCTCAGGCTAATCTTGAACTTGCTAGTCTAGTAGTGAGGATGGCCTTGAACACCGGGTCCTCCTGCCTCTACCTGAGGTTATAGGTGTCTGCTCCTGCACCTGGAATTTTGTTTTTTAAAGGGGAGAATGCTGGTTGCATTTGTTTGTTTGGAGTCCTGTGTAATTCCAGCTACACCCACATCAGGTGACTATTGAGCAAAGTCACAAACAGGGTTTAGCAAGACACCTGCTTCCTAATGTAACTTTAAAAGCCCAGGCATTTTCATCTTTGGTGATTACATGCATATTGTTGGGGTGGAAGTGGTGTGGGGCTGTGCTTCATCCCCAACAATAAATTCTTACACTCGTGAACACTATATAATGTGGAATCTGATAAATAAAAGTATCTTTAAATTTTTGTTTGCTTAGGACAGCTGTAATCCCATCTTTCACAGTTTGTATAGTATGACAAATAGTTCCTAAACACTTATCAAGGGTTGTCATCAGTGTCTCTGATATAAATCGGCTTTCTTCTGCAGCAGCTAATGCATCTCAAGCATGACTGTTAGCACCTACAGTTCCTATCAGACTATATGAAACTTTGCTAATGTTTAGTCTTGCTAGTGTGAGTATATCTTGAAACAAGAAATCTCCCTTTAACATTAGATTTTCTATTCTGTATTGATAATAAAGCAAGTTCAAAACTAAAAAAAAAATAAAATAAATTCTGTGTATTATAGGTCAGATTGGCAGCCGCTGGTCCCCCAGCAGATAAAGAACAAACCCCAAAATTTAGTTTATCTGTTGCTCTCTTAACTTTTTAAAGTTGTTAGGATTGGTGTTTTTAGTTTAGTATTTTTTTTAAAAAATTTTATTTTTAAGATGTGATAAGG